AAACCCTACGGGGCAGTTCTACTTTGTCCTATTAGGTTGCTATGAGTCAGAATTGACTCGACAGCAATGAGTTTGGTTTTCTTTTATTTTACTCGACATGATGTTCTCAAGGTTCATCCATGTAGTTGCATGCATCAGGACCTCATTTCTCTTTATAGGTGAGTACCATTCCATTGTGTTTGTAAACACAAGTAAACATGTATACCACGTGCTTATCCATTCATCTGTTGATGGACATTTCAGTTGTTTCCACCTTTTGGCGATAGTGAAAAGTACTGCAATGAACACTGGTGTACAGGTTTAATAAATGCTTTCTTGCATACTGTTGCAGGAAATGTTTTTGAGTAAGACATTTCCAGAGGAGCATTGTCAATGGGGCCTTATGAAAACCAACACACTGAATGATGACTCCAGCCTCATACTTGCTGACAGCCCAAAACACTTTGGCCTCCTTTGCTTGTTCTGCCAAAAACGATTTAGGAGGGTGGCTGAGGAAGGAGGTGGATGGGTGGGCGGCCAGCTTGAGATGTATTGGGTTCCACTGATACAAGTCGGCAGTGGTGTGTCTCTGTCGGTTATTGCACCGAGCCAGCGTTGCCCCAAGGTAGATGCCCAACCTCTGCTTGAAGGGAGAGCCGTGGTTTTACCAAGGAGGAAAGACAGCCCACTGCTGAGTGGCTTTGGGGCATGCAGACACGCTGTCCTTCTGCACTTCTTACTCACCTCAAAGCTTCCTGGTTCTGGCCATTTAAGGGAATCATTTCTTAAAGAACACACACACTCACGAACAAACACACACACATGCATGCATGCACACACACATATACACACACATGTATGCATGCTTGCACACGCATCCCTCCTTTGTACTCAAAAGCTGGCTCTTCTACTTCATATCCAGAAAGTCCTCATAGAGGATATAGAGAGACCCAAGTTGGACAGAAGCTAATAAAGTCTTGGTGTCTTGATTTTTTTTCTGAAAATATATGCAACAAATCATACACCCGTTTAACAATTTTTACATGTACAGTTCATTGGCAATGGTGATGTACTTCATATCGCGTCACCATTGTTAAGGTTTACTCTCTGCCCTTTGAAGTTCTCATCAGTGCTTTAGAGTTACTGTTGCCATTTCAGTCTCATATAGGTACATAATTCTTCAATAGGGCGCAATGCTCAGTGCGAACATTATCTATTGAGCTAAATTGTTATTTAAAGAGTCTTTTTTTTACCTTGTTAACATACGCATGCTCGGGATGTGACTATGTTAGAAGGTTGAGCAGGAATGAAAGTGTTGGCTTCTAGAACTCCTTAGAATGTGGAGATGGATGAGGAAGGACTGAAGGATCCTGCTTACATTCAGGTTTGGTCCATGTCTAAAAAAAAAGCCAAACCAAACCGCTTGCTGTCGAGTTGATTCCAACTCTAGCAACCCTATAGGACAGGGTAGAACCACCCTTCCCATGGGGTTTCCAAAGAGCGGCTGGTGAATTCTAACTGCCAAGCTTTTGATAAGCAGCTAAACACTTAATCACAGTGCCACAAAGGTCCATGTCTAGAGACCATAAACGTCACTCTTCTTTCATCAAATGGAGACGATCAGGAGCTTGAGATCTCTGGGTGATGCAAGCAGTTTATGCTCGACTACTAACTGAAAGGTTAGTGGTTCAAACCCACCCAGTGGTGCCATGGAAGAAAGGCCTGGCCATCAGCTTCTGTAAAGATTACAGCCAAGAGCTAAACCTCGTGGAGTAGTTCTACTCCATGGAACCCCAGTAACACATGGGGTCACCATGAGTCAGAACTAACTTAATGCTAATGGGTTTGGTTTGGTTTTAGAGGCAGGAAGCACTTGGGACCCTCCTGATCTGGGTTTCTCAGTTACAGACTCTGCCACTTACGGGCTTCATAACCCTGGCAGTTTCTCACTTCCCTGAGCTTCAGTTCTCTCAACTGAAAAATGAGGATATAACACCCACCAGACAGGGTTGTTGGGGTGATTAAAAAAGACAGTGGAGGTAAAGCAACTGGTACATAGTAGGTGACCAGTAATGGTGGTTCCTGCCCCCTTATTGTAACCACTAACCATTAACCAGTTGCCTTCGAGTTGATTCCGATTCATGGCAACCCCATGTATGTCAGAGGAAAACTGTGCTTTTCAACAGTGAATCACCAGGCTTTTATTTCAAGGAGCTTCTGGTAGACTTGATCCTCCAACCTTTCAATTAGTAGCCAAGCACATTAACCATTTGAATCATCCAGGGACTGCTCTCCTTACTGTACTAGAAAAAAAAAAAAAAAAACTCCCAATTCGAAAGTTTTCACAAGGAAATTTTTTATGTCCTTCCACAATCCAGTCTTGTGTTATGGACTTTAAAGGTCGCTTTTGTGGAACACCTACTACATAAGAGATGGAGCACTAGGTGCTTTAGGTATATTAACCAATGTCAGTCTGACAACCCTTAAGGGTGGGTTTCACTATCCCTATGTGAGAGGTGAACTGATTGGGACTGAGAAGTTTAAATAATTGGCCCCGAGACATTGATTAGTAAGAAACAGAAGCAAACCTCTAGCCCAGGTCTGGCTAACTCCACCATGTTGGAAGACAAAACTCCTCCCAGTTCTGCCAGTGGCCAAAGGCCATGAGTGAACTAGAAAAGTCAGCAATGTCATGGGCTGGAAGGGATCTTAAGAAGCCTTCCTTTTGGTTCTCCAATGTTTACACCAACCCAGGCCAGAGGACTAGCAGGGTTATTTTTTACTGACCTCTGGAAGATTTTAATAGTCTTTTTCGATCTCAAAATCAAGAACCAAACCAGCATCATTGCATCAGTTCTGACTCATGGCGACCCTGTGTGCATCAGAGTAGAACTGCACTCCATGGGGTTTTCAAAGGCTGATTTTTCAGAAGTAGATTTGTAGGCCTTTCTTTCGAGGTGCCTCTGAATGAGTTTAAACTGCCAACCTTTCAGTTAGTAGCCCAGTGGTTAACTGTTTGTACTGCCTGGGGCTTCTTTTCTATCTCAGGTTATGTTAAATTGAGATGTATTAGAGGGGAGGGAAGTCCATAGGGCTGAGCACTTACGTGGACTTTGAGGGCTGGTTTTGACTGATGCCCTTGGAAAATATCCTTCTCATGGTATGGCTACAAGAGCTTGGGGAGGGCCTGGGATATTGGTTCAGTTCTCTATGGGGAAGGGATAAGGCTCACAGGTCCCTGGACCCCATCCTACTCTGATACTGGGATCTGTGGCGTGTCTCAAACTTGCCAAGCATGGTCCCAGTCATTGGAATGTAAGCACCTGAAGACAGACATTGTTTTCTTTTTTGTTTACTGCTGTTTCTTGCCCTGGTGCCCTGGTGGTTAAGTGCTTAGCTGCTAACCAAAATGTCTGCAGTTCTAACCCACTAGCTACTCCTCAGGAGAAAGATGTGGCAGCCTGCTTCCGTAAAGATTACAGCCTTGAAAACCCTATGGGGCGGTTCTACTCTGTCTTATAGAGTTGCTGTGAGTTAGAATTGACTTGATAGCAGTGGATTTGGTTTTCTGGTTTTATTTCCTGCCCCTAGAACAGGGCTGGCACATGCTAAGAGCTCACAGCTGGGAATAAGTCAATTAATTAATTTCAGGGCATTTGTTCTATTTGGAACATTCTTATCCCAGATAGTAACCTTGCTTGGTTCCTTACTTCATTCAGGTCTAGGCTCAAAAGTTACCTCCCCAGAGAGGTCTTTCCTGACCTCTTCATCTGAAACTGGCCACTCTTTATCACGTCTATCCCTGTCCCTGCTGGATTTTTCTTCTCCACCTCTTGCATATCCATGAGCTTGTCACTCTCCCCACTGATAGATTCCATGATTCAGAGTATCCATCTCTGTGCACTGCCATATCTCCATCACCTAGAACAGAGCTTGGCAAGAGCAGGTGCTAATAACTATCTGTTGAATGAATGAATGAGTAAATGCATACATAATACATGGAAAGAGTTTAGTACAGTGCCTGGCACATAGCAAGTGATAAATGTTCATTTTGATGAGGATGATGTTTAAGTTGATGGTGATGATGATGATACTCAAGGTCACTCTGAGGCTGTCACATTCTGGATTTACCACTGATGACCTTCAGTGAACCTCCTGGTAAACTGGTGAGTGTAAAAGATTTCCCTTTCCCCTCACATCCCATTTCCACCTGCTGCCTAGACACCAAAGGGCAGTGCTCCTACCAACTTCTGCTTGCCACATTTCCCTCTTTGTGGAGTTGTGACAAGGAGTTGGGGAAGTTCACTGTCCGGGAGAGTTTATGCAATTTTTTAAGCTGATCAGTGCAGACAAGGCCTGTCCAGGTCTACTAGACAAGACAAACTTTGGGATTCAGTCCTCTTGTTTCTTAACCACACTCTCCCAGGGCTCTCTTCTCTCTCCCCAACTCATTAATTAAGATACTTTCATACCCTTATTTCATACTATGGTGTAAATGACTAACAACAGTCTCATCTCTACATCCCACCTGCATTACAGCTACCTAATCTCTACCAGCTTCCAGAACTTCCACAATTCTTTGCTTTTGTACATGCTGCCCTCTGTGCCTAAAGTGTCCTCATTCCACCCCATTTTCTACCTCAAGAACTCCTATCTTCTCTTCAAAACCCAGCTCCAATATCACTTCCTCTAGGAAGCCCAACCCCAGATCTTCGAGCAGTTTCTGCTTCCTCTCTCTGGTTTTCCATGCCATTTTTCTCCCCCTTCCATGATAGCCCTCACTACAGGGCACTGTACCTACCCAGGCCTCTCTCCCTCCAGGCCAGAAATGAGCTCCTTCAGGGCAGGGTTCCTGCATTTGGAGCAGCAGTAACAAGCAAAGCATCAAGCACCACAGACTCATAAATGAAATGATAAAGATAGGAATTCTGGAATTGGTTATGTTAGGTGTTGACTTGGAATGGATGGGGTGGGGAAGCAGGAAGTCATTCCTTAAATATTTTTTCTACTGATCTATGGGGGCCTGTTTATAATGAGCCATGAGTTCATTTGCAACCAGAAATGGAGAAACCAAACAATGGCTGAAAAATGCCCAGTGCTTTATTATCTTTGTTAACTTAGCAAAAAGTACATTTACACTGAAATCATCACTTTAGCGAGTTCAGCTCAAAGACAGGCCTTCCGTGCTCATCTTCACAAAACGTTATGGGCCTCAGAGACATATGCTGAGGTCAACAGCCTCTGAAAATCTCACATCCAAGGGAATGAATACAGAGAAAATGCCAAATCACAAAAAAAGGAAATCACAAAACCTGTTTAAATACTGTGCTGCACTCGCATAGCACAGAAGTTCATATCTTAGAGGCAATTTGAAGAGCTTTACAGCACTCAGCAAGCCTTAGGACGGGATGGTTTCCATGCTCTTTGACGTCATTAGCATGGTTTGTCCTGTAACATGGTGAGGAAGAATTGGCAGAAGGAGGCCCAGGAGTCGCCACAGTAGTCCCCAGCCAGTTTCCTCTGGTACTGCACGTCTGGGTCCTGCTCACACTCGGGACCATTGGCGCTCATGGTCTGCTGTTGGGCTTTGGCTGGGGTGGTCTCTTTGGTCTCAATGACCATAGCTGGCTTTGGGGTAGTGGTGGTGCTCATTGTTTTGGCCTCTGTGATCACAGTTTGCTGTATGAACTTCTCTGTGGATTCCTTTGTTTTGATCAGAGTGGAGTTCATCATCTTTAAATAGGCTTCCGGAAACTTCTTTCCGCACAGCCTAGTCTTCAGGACAGTCTGGGAGCGCTCACAGATGTTCGTCTGCTGCGCTAGGTTCCGGCCAATTTGTTTCCAGTAGACCCTCTTTTTGTTCGCAAAATCTGGGCATGAGTGCGGATTACCGGCAAAGTAACAGGAGAACTGGTTTTCCACTCTGGTGCACTCAACCTTCAGCCTGGCACCATTGCTGTCCTCCACCACGGCCCATCTACACTCTGCTTGGTCTGGGGTAAGAAAGCCACCCTTAGCCAGGCGTGTGCGTCCCAGACTGTGCCCCTTCTTCCTGCCTCTTTCCTTTTTGTCTTCCACCAAGAGCACCTGAGCGGCCAGGAGGAAAGAGAGTAGGGCGAGGCTCTGGATTCTCATAGCTTCAGCTTGGGGGGAACCTGTTTGACAAACGGCAGGTGAGTCAGCGCTGGGCAGCAGTTCAGCAGTGCAGGGCTGCAGGCTGGCCCTCCCTCCAACCCTGACACAGACCTGTTTGCTTCATGTGTGAAATCGAGAACCTCTCTGACTCCTGGGAAGACTAGACCAGCAGACTGCCTACTCCCATTTCCGCTTGACTTGTGCTTTGAGTATCACAAATGACTACAGTTCCTTCCTCCCTGCCTTTACTCATTCGCTGAGCCTCATTAACTCTCACTCACTCATTCACTCCTGTCTTTGTTCATTCATATACTTCTTCATTCACTCATTCATCTAGCATTATAGAACAGCTACTACCTGCCGTGTGTCAGACTAGATGTTGAACATATATCTAGTGAATTAGAAAGTCTTAGGTTGTAAATGGCTTAGAGGCTGCTAAGGAAGGCATTGACAAGGCAGTTGGTCCCAACCCTGCCTTCCGTTTGCCACTCTTTCCCTCTGGGTCTCAGTTCCTTTATCTGGAAGTCAAGGTGTCGGATGAAACAATGGCAAACTCTCTCCCAGCTCTAATAGGCTGGGTTTCTATCTCACAATTCTACCTGGGCTCAGGTAACCACAATATGAGAAAGGACTTGGTAAGTGTCATGAAAGTGTTGTGCAAGGTGATGTTTGACCCCGATGTTAAACATGGATGGGGTTTGGACATACTGAGATGGGGCGCAGGCATCCTGGAAGTAAACAAGAGGCTAAGGAAAGGCATGACGGCGAGAGTTTTCCAATTTGACCAGGACAAAGTAAGCCAGGGTGGAGAGGGGTGAATTTCAACCAGAGCAGTTCGACTACAAGGTTGAAAGCAAGGACCATGTCTAATTGATTTCTGGAGCCCAGTGTTGGGCATATTGAAAGTCCCAATCAATACTTTTAAAAATAAATCATTGACTAAATAGGATGATCTTAAGTGTCAGACTAAACTGTGTGAATTTTATCGGATGGGCAATAAAAAATCCATGCTTAAAAGGAGAAGTACCATTTTGATGTGACACCTACTATTTGCTAAGCAAGGAGCCCTGTTGCAGTGGTTAATTGCTCAGCTGTTAACTGAAAGGTCGGCTGTTTGAACCCACCAGCATCTCCATGGGAGAAAGATGTGGCAGTCTGCTTCCTTAAAGATTAACAGTCTTAGAAACCCTATGGGGCAGTTCTACTCTGTCCTATAGCCTTGTTATGAGTTGAAATCAACTCAACAGCAACGGGTTTGGTTTTGGTTTTGTATGTGCTAAGCGGAGTCCCTGAGTGGTACAAATGATTAGGCACTCTACTGCTAACTGAAAGGCTGAGTTCTGGAGATCTGTTTCCAAAAGTCACAGCCTTGAAAACCTGATGGAGTGCAGTTCTACTATGCACACATAGAGTCCCATGAGTCAGATGGCAACTGGTTGGCTCAGCTGCTAACTTAAAGGTTGGCAGTTCGAACCCACCGGCTGCTCCGTGGAAGAAAAGATGTGGCAGTCTGGTTCTGTAAAGATTACAGCCTTGGAAACCGAATGGGACATTTCTACTCTGTCCTATAAGGTCACTATGAGTCAGAATCAACTCAAGACAGCACACAACAATGACAAAACACTGGTCTGGCATTTGACTGTCCCTTTGACTAATCCACACAAGAACCCTGCCTGGTAGCTATTAATATTAGCACCTACCTGTAACAGATGTGGCAGTTAAGGCTCAGATAAG